GAATATTTGTATGTTGGTCGAATCTTCGTTTGGATTGTAGCAGATTGGCATATTTCTCACTCTTGTTCGTGAATGTTTGAACTTAAATGATATTAGCCGTGTGTTAGCACTCTCTTAGTTTAATTAGTTCCATGTATATAATAGTTAGGTGTGAAATTTTGTTTTTGTCCCATTATTGTTCAATTCATGGATACTAAGATTTTCATTGAACAAAACAAGCATGTGCTTATACCATTGAAGTAACTGATACATGAGCCCAATTTTAATTTGATAATTTAGTTCATTGGTTGGATGGTTTCTACATTAAGCAGCAAATTCGTTTGGATTCGAACTTTGGATTCTTTGAAGTATCGACGTGAAACGGGTCTACTTTAGTCTTGAAAACCAATTTGTTATGACATATAGATAAAACAGGGATTCGGCTCATTAGTATAATAAGACCTTTTGAAATGAATTGAGGCGTGCCATGCCAAATAAAACTCCTAAGCCCATGGCCCTCACAAAACTAGTTAGCCCTTTATAGAAAATTTGAGGTGTTCCATTTTCATTAAATAACCCATGGCCCTCATATAATTAATTTTATCTTTTGCAATCGAGGCGTGCCATTTAGTTGAATTTTCCATGGCCCTCGCAAAGTTGAAAGTGCGTAGTTGCTTTAGCGCACTATTTTAAAAAATTACTTTCCTAAACTCGGGTGTGCATTTCATGTGACCCAAATCCAAATATTAAAACGTTGAATAAAATGTGTCGAGGATCTGGGTGCATTTCATGTGACGTGATCCGAAAATATATTTTAAACGACGTTCAATTTCTTAAAATTTTTAATTAAAAGCGGTAAATAATTCTAATAATTGCACTATAGGATGACATGTATAAAAATCAGATTTTTAGCCAATTATAATAGTTTAAGCGACCGTGCTAGAACCACGGGATCCGGGGGTGCCTAACACCTTCCCTCGGGTCAACAGGATTCCTTATTCAGAATTTCTGGTTCGCAGACTCCAATTGGGAAGTCGAAATTTTCCTCGATTTGGGATTCAAGTTAAACCGATGACTTGGGACACCAAAAGCCAATCCTATCCCAAGTGGCGACTCTGAAAATTAAATAAATAATCCCATTTCGAATAATGTCACTTTAAATGGAAAAACTCCCTTATACGTTATCCTTCGGGGTAGATGTGTAAAAAAGGAGGTGTGACAATGAATATTCAAAATTTTCATGCAATAATATTTTATTTCTTTTACCCCCACTATTTCTAGAAATATTTTATTTGTTTTATCTCCACTATTTCTAGAATTATGAAAATTCATAATCATAAATAATATAATCACAGAGTCATTAAAATATAAGGTAAATTTTTTTACCTTTTCCTCCACCTGAGATAAACATGTAAAAAATTTGTTTACCTTTCCATCTCATAAAGAGCGTGAACTTCTACCTTGATATCTGCTATTTTTACAACTGCGTAAAAATCTGAATCTCCTTAAATTTGTTGATGAAATTACAAAAAATTACAGTTGAAAAATAAAATGAAGAAAATAGAAAAAATATTCTTCAAGCTATATGGTTTTTTGGTACTGTCCCTTCTTGGCTATATTTTCATTAATGTGGCGCTTATACTTTCCTGAGTCGAGTGTCTATTTGAAACAACCTTTCTATCCTCACAACGTAGGGGTAAGGTCTGCGTACACACTACCCTCCCCAGACCCCACATGTTACAACCCATATTCACGTACGTTAGTTTACGCCGTAAGTTAGTCGACATAAATCCGAGAAAAGATTATCTTTGAGATGATAACAATTTAATCCTATTGGTCTTAAATGATACAAGGGTGCAAAAGAGTAGTTATCAAGTATCAGAAGTTAAACAAATCAAGGATGTTCTAACCCATATTTTTGGGTAAAACTAGAGATGCTTAATATTCCCAAGAGGTCGTGTTTTAAAGTATTTGAATCATATAATATCTGTATCATAAGTCTAAAAGTCAAACGAGTTATGAAACAAAAGTCGACAAAAGTTGTGGCAACTTACATTCATAACTTTACTTAAACTTTAAGTCAAATGCTACTAAGATTTTCTCCTAATTTACGTGGAATTACGGGTTGATCCACCAAATTGAAGATCTATGAGTCTAGTTTACAACTTATTAAACCGTTCATCGATACAATCTCGGAGTAGAGAGATATTCGTATTTTTGCGAGACTACGCCAAGCAGCTCTCTATGGGGCCCACATAGGCGGTTGAGACATATAGATATATATATAAAATGCCTCAACCCCATTTTAAGTCATTCTTTTTCAGTATATTCAGACCTTAGAACCCTAGAAACACTCTCTCAAGGTTTTCTCATGATCCAAGACCCAAACAAAGGGAAAACAATACAAATCAAGTGTCGGGAATCTCGTGGCACTAGTAAGTTTCTTGTTCTTCTTGTTGTTGTTGATTTTTGTGTGGTTCCAGCTCGTGTGGGAGGTTGTTTTAAGTGTTTTATGTTCTGTAAATTACTCCCTCAAGCTTTTAATATCAACCCTAGGTGATTTCAAGTCTTACAAAGTGATTCTAGTGCCGAAAACTCGAACTGATTGCTAGTTTCGCTTCCTTGTTCTTGTGCAGGCATTGGAAGGTTATTTCGTGAGGAATTAAGGTCAAGTTGGAGTTGCTCTTTCTGTTTAAAGGTAAGGAACCTCTTACTCTACATGTATTTAAGATTATCCAAGTTGCAGCTAAGCCGTTGAAGCTAGAAGTTGTGAGATATATATATATATATATATATATATATATATATATTAGTAATATTGTTGGTTGGTGGACTATTTTGGGAGGCTCAATATGATTATTATTGATGTTGTTTGAGCTGTTTGGTGAATGTTTTAACTTATGAAAAGTCATATAAATAGGGGAGGTGTTGTTTGTTTCATCGTAAAATTGGTTGTGGTCGATAGATAATGTCTATGACACTTAAACGATAACGATAGTGCCATTTCTCTTATTGTAGACTAAGGAGTCGTGACATTTGCATAGCTTGAGGTTGGGCAGTATATACAAGGTATGTGAGGCTATCATTTTCCTTCTTTTGCACGACTCCGATTGTACATAATGTAATGAACGAGCTTCCAAAGATACTCCATTATTAGAAGCTAGCAGTACCTATATTATTTCTCTTCTTATGGAATAGTCGATGTTGATGTTGCTTCTAGTATTCTTATGTTATGAATGTCGTTGGTACTTCATGATTCCTATAAGATCCACGTTGAAGAGTTATTCCTAATATCATGTACGGAGGTTACCGACCTTACGTCACTCCGAAAGATTCAGAATATGATTCCATGAAGTCCAACATGCATTATATATATGTATCTATTTTACTCTACCGAGCCACGCTATAGTCGGCCTGGTACACCACCTGTTGTGCAACCACTGATCAGTTGGGTTTTACCGAGCTCCATGTGGTCGGGCATGATTCTACCGAGCCTTATGATGGCCGGCTACATTTTTATCGAGCCTATTATGGTCAGGTACGATATGATGATGATGATGCCCACAGAGGCGTATGTTCTAAAGGTTTATATATATATATATATATATATATATATATATATATATATATATATATATATATAAATCATGCATTTCATGTCAGTAGCCTTAGAGGTACCCAGATGTTACAGGTTGTATATTCTCTATCCATGTATACATTACTGTTCTTACTTATCCTTTCCTGCCTTACATACTCGGTACTTTATTCGTACTGACGTCCTTTTTATTTGTGGACGCTGCACGTCGTGCTACAGGTCCTGATAGACAGGTAGACACAGCTTCCCCACCACAGTAGGCTGCCCAGTTCAGCTGTTATTGGCGAGATCCCTTCTCCGGACTTGCCGTGGTCTTGGTATGCATTTTTGTTATAGACATTATGAAGATATTATTTCTTATCTATTGTTTGGTGTGGTGTATTGAAATTATAATGCATTGCATAATTTTTAAGAAAAATAGTTATTTACAAAAATGCCATTCATATTCTCTTGCTTCAAGCGACTTTAAGGATAATCTTATCTTTAACCATATTAATGCATCCATTAATAGCCTTGTTATTACTAATGCCATGGTTTTCTATGAATTACTTATACATAGGATAATACCAAGTATGACGTATAATTAATACAAGTATTAGTCGTGCACATGTTGAAAAAATATACCAAACAAGGTATTAGCAATGCATAGAGCTAAAGCTTGCATTATTTTTTCTAATACCTCCTACCAAACAACCCCTCGGTAGGTGTGACTTTCTTTTTTGTGGTTGGGATATTTGCGCCCATTGATCTTTGTTTCTTCAGCTTGAGAAAGACAACCTCCAGCATTCGAAGCAATGCATTAGTTTACACATAATAAATATGTAACGACCCGGCCGGTCGTTTCGAGAGTTATAGCCTCGTTTCCCCATTTCTGCTTCTTTATGTGTTATTCAGTTGTATTGTGTTGTATCGGGTTAGTTAGTTCGGGTCCGGAGTGGTTTCGGAGTGGAATGAGACACTTAGTCTCCTATGTAGAAGTTTAAGTTGGAAAAGTCAACAGGAGGTTGACTTATGAGTAAACGATCTCCAATTTGTATTTTTATGGTTCGGTTAGCTCCGTTTGGTAATTTTGGACTTAGAGCACGTTCGAAATGTAATTTGGAGGTCCGTGGTAGAATTAGGCTTGAATTGGCGAAATTGGAAATTTGGCGATTTTTAGTCGGCAGTGGAAAATTTGATATCGGGGATGAAATTGAATTCCGAAAGTTGGAGTAGGTTCGTAAAGTCATTTTTTGACGTGTGTGCAAAATTTGAGGTCATTCAGACGAGGCTTGGTAGGTTTCGGCGTCATTTGCAGAATTTGGAAGTTTAGAAGTTCTTAGGCTTGAATCCGAGGGTAATTTGGTGTTTTGATGTTGTTTTGAGTGTTCAGAAGGTTCGACTAGGTTCGTATGTTGATATGTGACTTGTTGGTATTATTGGTTGAGTTCCCGAGGGCCTCGGGTGTGTTTCAAATGGTGGTCGGATTGGTTTTAGGTGTTTGAGAGATGCTGAAAACTGCCGGTGTGATTTCTGCTGGTGTTTTCGCACCTGGGGAAGGGGAGCTGCAGGTGCGAGGTTGCAGGTGCGGAGTGGTGGAGCGCAGATGCGGAAAATGGGAGGCTAAGGCTGGAGCGCAGGTGCGAAAGCTTGGCCGCACCTGCGAGCCTGCAGGTACGAGACTTGGGGCGCAGGTACGGAAGTTGGGGAGTTAAGTCAGTTTTGCAGGTGCGACAATTTTGGCCGCAGGTGGGGTCTGGCAGGCGCGGGAAATAGGCCGCAGGTGCGAAAAGCCTAGGCAGAAAGTATAAATTGCACACTTCGCGAATTTTGGTCCATTCTACACCATTTTCAGTCGGTTTTGAAGCTTTTGGGAGTGATTTTGAAGAGGGATTCAAGGGGTTATTAGTGAGGTAAGTTGCTTGAGCCCTAATACTCGTGTTTATGGTGATATCCCGTTGTTAAATCATTTAATTAGTGGAAATTAGAGGTGAAAATGAGGGGTTAGGGCTTGGGATTTTGGACACTTTGATTTGGGAATTTGAGGGACCAAATGAGGTCGGATTTTGATAAATTTGGTATGGTTGGACTCGTGAGTGAATGGGTTTTCTAGCGATGTAATTTTGTCGGATTTCGAGATGTGGGCCCGGGGGCCGGGTTTGAGCCAATTTCGGGATTTTACTCTAAATTGATCATTTTTCTTGTGGAATTAATTCCATTAGCATATATTGATGGTATTGTACTGATTGTGAATAGGTTTGGAGCATTTGGAGGCTGAGTCGAGAGGCAAGAGCATCGCGGAGTAGAGATTTGACCGGTTTGAGGTAAGTAACTATTGTAAATCTAGTCCTGAGGGTATGAAACCCCGTATTTCGTATCATTTTAATTTTAAGGTGACGCACATGCTAGGTGATGGGCGTCTGGCGTGCACCATTGGGGATTGTGACTTGGTTCGTCCCGCAGCTACTATAAAGTTGCATAATTGCTTGAAACTACATGATACTTATGTGTTTTAGAAAGAGTTTCTGTGAATTAGGTTGAATGCCATGTTTAGGCCTTGTGTCAGATCTGTTTGGACCCTTAGGGACTTTTTCTTACTATCCTCTCACTGTTTTCAATTGAAAATCTATACTCAGTCATGGTTATACTTGTTTACTGCATAACTCAGTCTTTACTACTCTGTTTTGATGCATATATAAGTTGTTTTGGGCTGAGTACCCTGTTTTTACTGAGAGCCTGAGTGGCTTTAGAGGTTTATGACTGAGTGAGGCCGAGGCCTGATTTGTGAGGATATTTATGGGATCGGGCTACACGCCGCAACATGTTTGATATAGGCCGAGGTCCTGATTGATTTATGCCATGATTTGGCTTGATATAGCGCTTGGGCTAAAGGAGCCCCTCCGGAGTCTGTACACACCCCCAGTGAGCACAGGTACCTACTGAGTGCGAGTGCCGAGTGTTGAGTGACTGGGAGGTATGAGTGATGGTGAGGTTTGCGCGAGGGGCTGTATATGAGTGATGGTGAGGTTAGCCCGAGGGGCTGTATACGAGTGATGTTTGCCTGAGGGGCTGCTTATGATTCCATCATTTTTCTCACTTATGCATTGAACCTTTATTCGAAAACTGTGGAAAGATGTTTTTAAATGATTTTACTTGAACTGGATTTAAACAGGATGATTTGATTTAAACTATGGTTTTAAAAGCATGCCGTATTTTACTGAGTTTTTGCGATATAAACTGTACTTGCTTTATTGCTCGTCACTACTTCTCAGCCTTTATTTACTGTTGTTACTTACTAAGTTGGCGTACTCACGTTACTCCCTGCACCTTGTGTGCAGATCCAGGCGTATCTGGACACGGTAGCAGCTATTGACTATTCCAGTTGCAGATTTTCTCGGAGTTAGCAAGGTAGCTGTCTGGCGATCGCAGCCCTGATCTTCTCCCTCTTATCTTCCTTTAGTTGTATTTAATTATTTTCCAGACTATGTTAGTCTCGATATTGTCAGACAAATTGTTGTAGATGCTCATGACTAGTGACATCCCGATGTCGGGCTTTCTTTTCCACACTTTTTGATTTGATTTTAACTCATTTATGAAGGTTCTATATTAGATAGCTTTGGAAATTTTCTTGAAATGAGATTGTTCATTTGTTTTAGTAATGTGTTAGCTTGCCTAGTACCACAATGGGTGCCATCACGATAGGGTTAGTTTTGGATCGTGACAAGTTGGTATCTGAGCCTAGGTTACATAGGTCTCACAAGTCATGAGCAGGTTTAGTAGAGTCTTGCGGATCATTACGGAGAAGTCTGTACTTATCTTCGAGAGGTTGTGGAACCCTTAGGAAAAATCTCACATTCTTGAATTCTTGTCGTGCGAATCCATTGATTCTGGTAAATAAACTTCTATTGTTTCATTCTCTCATAGATGGTGAGGACCCGCACTACTGGACAGGGTGACCAGCCACTAGTACCACCAGTTAGGCCCGCGAGAGGCCGAGGCCGCGGTCGAGGCTGTGGTAGGGGTAGAGGTGAAGCCCGCGCAGCAGCCCGGGCAGTACCAGTAGACCCTCCAGTTGCTCCAGATCAGTTCCCGGTCTCATATGCTCCAGCGAGACCCGCTCAGGCACCCCTTGTGCCTATCGTGATTCCTGGCCTTCAGGAGGCCCTAGCCTAGATCTTATCAGTGTCTACTGGCCTTGCTCAGGCAGTCTTTGTTACTATGGCCGCAGCCACTTCTCAGGCCGGGGGAGGCACTCAGACTCCCGTCACCCGCACGCCGGAGCTGGTTGTTCAGGGACTTTAGACACCGAGGGCACCACCAGCCCAGCCGATAGCAGCTGCTCAGGACTATGTAGTTCCTGTTATGCCTGAGAATGAACAGCGCTGATTGGAGAGGTTTGGGAAACTCCGACCTCCATCTTTCAGTGGTGTAGAGGGTGTGGATGCTCAGAGTTTCTTGGATAAGTGTCGGAGGATACTCCATACAGCAGGCATTCTGGAGACCAGTGGGGTCTCATTCACTACCTTCCAGTTCTGTGGGGATGCATTCAATTGGTAGGAGACTTACGAGAGGTGTAGGCCGGCTGGCGCAGCACCCCTTACTTGGCAGCAGTTCTCCGTCATCTTTCTGGAGAAGTTCGTACACCTCAGTCCCGCAGAGAGGAGCAACGTAGGCAGTTTGAGCAGCTTCATTAGGGTGATATGTCTATGACGTAGTATGAGATGCGATTCTCGGAGTTGGCCCGTCATGCTATTTGGTTGATTTCCACAGAGAGGATCAGGAGGTTTATAGATGGCCTCACTTTTAAGCTGTGACTGCTTATGACCAGAGAGAGAGTGTCTGGTGCTACCCTTGACGAGGTCGTCGATATTGCTCGACAGATTGAGATGGTTCATGGTCAGGAGAGGGTTGAGAGGGAGGCCAAGAGGCCCCATGGACAGGGTGGATTCAGTGGTGCTCCTCATGGGGGTCAGTTCCAGCACGGCAAAGGCCGCCCATTCAGACATGCGCAGTCAGCTCGCCTAGATACGCCCCGCGAGTCTCTTGTTTCATCTGTTTATGCATCTACTCCTGTGGGTGATACTGTTGTTGTGGACCGCATGTATCGGTCTTGTGTGGTGACTATTGGGGGTTTGGAGACCCGAGTAAACCTTTTGTTGCTTAATAGTTGATTTTGATGTGATATTAGGCATGGATTGGTTGTCTCTGTGTCATGCTATTCTTGACTGTCACGCTAAGACGGTGATGATGGCTATGTCGGGAGTGCCACGGATTGAGTGGCGAGGTTTGTCGGATTTTGTTCCCAGTAAAGTTATTTCATTCTTGAAGGCACAGCGGATGGTTGGGAAGGGTTGTCTTTCTTACTTGGCCTTTGTGAGGGATGTCAGCACAGAGACTCCTACTATTGATTCAGCTCCGGTGGTGAAGGATTTTCCGGATGTGATTGATGTAGACCTACCCGGCATGCCGCTAGATAGGGATATTAACTTCAATATTGATTTGGTGATGGGCACTCAGCCCATCTCTATTCAACCGTATCGTATGGCGCCAAAGGAATTGAAGGAGCAACTTCAGGAACTCCTCGATAAGGGGTTTATTCGGCCTAGTGTGCCACCTGTCGATGCCCCCTTTTCTAAAGGCGAAATCGGGTTTATGACATTTGGGTAGACAACTCTATTCCTTTTGGGAATTTGGGTTTTGAGATTTAGAAGAATCGCCACCTAATGATTGAGTGCATTAGGACACCGAGGAGTAAAAAAAAAGAACCAGAGAACGGGTAAGGGCTTGAAATTATCCCAGGGGGAAGGTGTTAGGCACCCCCCAAGATCCACTAGTGTGGTTCCCGGCATGCTACAATTTGTGACTTTAAAGCGAATAAACATACAAGATGACTTCACATAACGATTAGAAGTAGGATTATATAAAGGTTAAATAAGCATGCTGAGGTTAGGGAATAGATGGTTTCATGTTCATTTAAAAGAATGTATAAATGCAGAAAAATGAGGGTCAAGTAACGAATGCAAATAATCAGACAAAGAAGTAAAATGGGTGGAAGTTTAAAAAATGAAAACAGTGCTGGAAATTCCAAAGAGGTTTGAATTATAGTGAAATACAAAGTTTAAAGAACTGGAAAACTGACGTAAACACATATGGAGGGAGGGGGATCCTAGGTTTATAAATAACATGGATCATCCACGCAACACCCTGTAACCAATTATACGCGTGGTGTTATCACGTGATCATCATCTCCATGTCTACCCTTTTCTACCCCGTTTAAGGTATTACAGCGCGGAATGGTCTCGTTACTTATTGCATGCTATTACCCGTCCCAATCCTATCAGTCTCGGAGGCGTTGGGACTACTAATCCTAAAAGGGAAGGGAATTGGGGCTTTTCAGAGTTTAAAAGGATAAAAAGTCTAAGGCGACAAGCAAAAACACATAAGCAGTCAGGGGAAGAACACATAGCAATTAAGGCTCAAATAGACCTCCTCACTTAAAAGAGCAAATATAGCATGACTTCAAGTACTGGTTAGGTCTTTAATTAAAATTACGTAAAGGGGTGTATGATTTATTACATATTTTCAGATAAGGAGTCCGAATTAGGCCTTTTCTGGATGTACTTTATCAGAATTGACGCAATTAATTACCTAATAGTTTGCCTAAGTGAGGCCTATGGGCATGACATCTAATAGAGCATACTGATTTTGGGGAAAAGGTTGCTGGTTATATAAACGAAAGATATGCAGATTTTGACGACCTTATGACTGATTATAGACTCGTAGATGAAATAGACGAAGCCGGTTCAGTTGATTATTCCTACAGGCATGATTTCTAAGCGTAATTGGTTTTAAACAAATACATAAATGCAAGAGTCCTATAGGCATAGTATCTAGAGTGAAGTTGGTTATTTATTAACCTATGATTGTTTGCCTAATGGCATGTATATGCAGAAGTGCAGAAACCTAAGATCATGATTTCTATATGCAGAACTTATAGACATAATTTCTAAGATGCAGAAGTGCAGGACTTATAGAAATAATTTCTACAATGCAGATGTGCAGAAACCTAAAATCATGATTTCTATATGCAGAACATATAGACATGATTTCTAAGATGCAGAAATGCAGAATTTATAGGCATGAGTTAAAAATGTAGAATGCGGAAATTGTAAATAACCTATAGGCAGGTTTTCTACCCTTGGCATGCATTCATCCCCATCCCTTTCCACTAGCCATCCCCAATTGTTATTACAAATTATTACAGACCCAAGTGAATCAGAAAGAAAAGTAAAA